TAAATAATAGTGCACCTTTTTATCTTAAAACATTCCTGGAATTATATCATCCACCTAGAGCCCTTAGATCAGCCTCTGATAATCTAATTCTTAAAACTCCAAAAACAAAATTACAAAACATACGGCGAGCGTTCCTTTTTGTTCGTTGGTCCCCAGGTATGGAACGAACTCCCATATAAAATAAGATCTGCCCCAACAATTTCCATTTTCAAAAATCAGCTGAAGCATTTTTTTCCCACAAAAGCATACCTGTCATAATGATGTACTGTGATATATGCATGTGTAAGCCAGACTGTGAGACTGAAAAAATAGCGAGTGAGAATGAGAGAGAGAAAAAGTAGAGATAGAGAGAGAAAATAGAGAGAAAAGAGAGAGAGATAGAGAGAGAGAGGGAGAGAGAGAGAGGGAGAGAGAGAGAGAGAGAGAGAGAGAGAGAGAGAGAGAGAGAGAGAGAGAGAACGGAAATGTTTTTCTATCTGTATAGAATTAACGTTTTAATGAATGTTTCTAGCTACTCACGTTTCAACTTTATTTTGACCGCTCGTGAATTTTTATTGCATTGTATATTTTTAGTGAACACATTTTCAACCTCACTGCGAGACTGTTTTTCTCGTATAAAATTTTACACATATGCATTTATATTATATGTATAATACTTTGTTTTACGTACACAATTGTCGATTAATTTTTAAGATGTGATGTCTTTTTCATTGTAATGCGCATTGAGCATCTTTTAGGAAATGGAAATGCGCAGTATAAATGCTATTTATTATTATTATTATTATTATTATTAATTATTATTATTATTATTATTATTATTATTATTATTATTATTATGACATTGGGTCCTGGCCGCGAAAAGCTAGACAAAAACAGCTAAATATGAAATAAAAAATTAATAAATTGGCATACTCTACCAAAGTGTTTCGGATGTCTGGTATAACATGCCATTGTAGGCCTAGTACTGACATCTCTGCTTCTTTCCTTGGTGTTCGTGTGTTTAAATCTAAAGTTAAATTAAGGTTAGTTACAATAAATATTTAATGAAATACTTTCCCGATTATTTTAGCGGTTGAATATATGCATACAACATGAATTCAGGATTTGTTTTCATTCACAACTCAGAGTTGCCGCCTCCAGTGCCAGTAAGATTCTTAATTCTTGTGACTTGTGTGAGTGTGATATCTCCAGGCCCTCTCTGGTCCCATCTCACTTTGATTACCCTGTCAAACAAGTCAGCCTTCGCCCCTGTATACAGTGATGGTTGTGCTTATCAGACCAGAACGCTATTTTGCCAAAAGCAATCAGCGACACTTGTACTGAGTTGTACTAGATAGAACAAAACTGTTGAATACAAATACCTTGAAAAGGGACAAACGCAAGTGGAAGTTGACAGCACACACGGTGTAATCGAAAGGTCCCTTAAAGTGGTCTGGTCTATGTGCTCATGGATAACGTTTTCAAGAAAGCAAGACAATATCTCTCCCCCCCCCCCCCCCCCATTTGATGTTCGTTTTCTGAACCATTCAGACCTGGCTAAAACAAAAACGACCCCGTTGTCACAAACGTTCGTTGCCTTTGATACACACTGAACAAAAACCTCCAGTACATGTTGAACGTTAAGATGAATGGTCTATTTTACCAACTCATGAGGCCAAAAAGTCCTGCCCCAGAAGACCCAACCAAATCACTGAAATAATTACTCTTAACTTCATAATTACTCTTATAAACTGTTATGATTTGCTTTTGTCAATTACTCAAATTCCCAAGCGACCATTGGCGCTCGTCGAGTGGCGTTGATCAACGTGATTGAAACGCCTAGACGCCGTCATACTGTCACTTAGGTGGTTGAATCCCGCAGATTTTGGTATGTCTAAACCGCCTATGTCCGGTAACTTATGTAAGACAGATTTTAAAAAAAAAGTTAGTTACAGCCTAGACCATCGCCCCACATAATAATTAATCATACATCTCAATTTCAGATTCATAGGTACGAGCATAAAGAAATAAAACAGTTTTTTTGCTTCTGCTGAAAAATTAATTTGTCTCTTGACACTTAGGCGCTTGAATCACGCAACTAGCGACGAGTGGAGAGCCCTTCTTGGCAACCGTATCGAATAACAGAGTGAACGAGGAAGATGGTGATTATGTTGAAATTGAAAAAAAAAGGGGGAGGGGGCAGAGTAAGTG